CTTTCAAGGAGAGGTTGGTTGGCGTCTTCGCAAGCTGTTTTTGTCGTCCGTCGCAGTGGTTCGTAGTTTGGTATCAGGAGGCTAGCTTTTGAATTATGCTGATTGTTAAGTAGCTTCTTTGCAGCAGAGGCCACAAGCCTCACTCAATCCGCTCTGAGTTTTTATCCTTTATCACGGTTGATATTGTCGCAGGACATCGTCGCTAAATGATTAATGCCTTTTTGACACAGCTGATGCCTTTGGTGTTTTACTGTTGGGGGTGGAGCATAAGCTTCCTGTGATCCATGTTGCAAAGTCCCGGAGGCGTTTTCGTATTGTTCTCTTGACCTTGTGAGCAGTTAAATTTTGTTTTCTTCTCTTTCTCTTCGTTATCAGATGTCGCTCACGCTCGTCCACGATCATTCATCTTCTCCAGCGTGTGAGGTGGATCTTTGCGGCTTCAGTGACGATGTGCCTTGTTTTTTCTATGTAATATTTTCCTCAGTTATATGGCAAATTTTACATCCAGCACAGCAAATTATTGTTCTCAGAGTTATGTAACAAAGTTGTAAGTTTCTTAGAACTTTTGTAAACTCGTTAAGTAACCTGTGTAACTTTTTGCTAAAGTTTTTGTGGTAAGGCAAAGTTAGGGTATAATATTATTTACAGTATTATTTTTACCCTTATTGGTATCGTAAGTCAACCTAAAGTACTCCATTTTATCGCTTATAATATTATTAACGAATTTAACTGGGTTATTATTATCATTTGTTTTATTCATTTTTTCGTTTTTTTAAATAAAATTTAATACTGCAGAGCTTCAGGGCTTTGTCTGTTAGAGCTGTAATTACAGATGCTTTATTACTCAAATGGTCATGTGAGGTGAATTTGGTATCTATTAGTGTTAGTCGTCTTGCGATAAACTTTAGTTTCATATTAATTACCGGAGTTAATGGTTAAGATCTTAAGAAATGATTGTCTGAAATTTTCTCTTTCAATGATTAGTTCAATATTTTTGAAAGAAGTCATTGGGTCGTTCGAGTATTTTATTTTTCGACACTCATTCCACCTATGGGGTGGATGACGAAAATATCGTCAACATATCTTTTGAGAACTTACGGAAACAGGTCTGGGTTAGCGTCACAAGTCAATATGTAGTTAATAGTAGAATATATATTATATATGCATAACACGCATATGAATAGGGAATGCTAAATTTATTAATTTATAAGGTGTAGCTTAATTTATTGAATGGCAGTACTTTCTTCTCGTTAAAAGTGTGGCGGTACTGATGTTGTGCTTTGTTGTCGTTTCTATGACTTTTATACGTTTGATGAGTGGATGAAGAAGACACTTTTGACAAAAGCATGGATTGAACTCATGTTCTCGAAAAAAATAGCAACGTTTGTATCTGATTAGCTGAGCTGTCTTTCATGCATTTTGTGTAACTTCTCTGTAGTACTTTCAGGTTTCTTGTCCAGGCATCACCTCCTTTTCTTTATTGTCTTGGATGAAAGTATGCACCTGATTTTCCGCAGCAGCCTTCACTAATCTGCCATAATCGAAAATTATGAGATTCTTCTGTGTCAAAACAATGAGTCCCGGTAATGAAATATATTTAATGATAAAGTATTCTTCATTTCGACTTTTTCCGTGCCTGACTTCGACACCTATGGTGATTCAGATAGAAGGTCATCAGTATAACCCTTTACAAGTGACGGTATACGCATGATGTAATGTAAACTATACAATTATATAATTAAGCAGTAGTAA